TTTACTATACGTGGGCAAGGGAGGAATTTAGGCTTCTTTTAAGTTCTGCTCAACAGAAATGACCAAAAAGTTTTAGAGATTTGTGAGACTAATTAGGATCCATTCCAATTTAACGGCTAGGGTTTCACACTGAAATGGATAAGGGAACATGTTTTGCCATTGCAAGGTAGAGATTTTTCTTCCAACTAGCTATCTGATTTGGGAGCCTCATTCTTTCATAATGCCATATGCAGTGATCAATCAGATGTAATGATCAAAAGGAAGTTTGCCTCAATCAATCCCGATAAACAAATAACTGCTATAGTGGCAAACCTAATGTGTTCTTCACTTCAAATTCACTTGCCAATAATTGGCCTCATTAACGTCTGTGAAGTTAGCTGTTCACTAAAATTGGGCAAGCTGTACATTAGATGTGTTCAGTGGTTTGCGAACCTTTGGGAATAATAGACCTACTGAATCAGCAACTTGCTAGTTCCATGGAAATGAACAAGCTAAAATTTAAAGAGACTACAAGGGATCTCGAAGGAGTGAAGGAGAGACCAGGAAATTCCTACCACCTTCCTATGATTAATGTTATTTTTCCCAGTATATAAAATGAGGGCTAGCTTTGTATCTTTCTTTAAAGATTTGACTTTGACAGAAAATGAACTTGATTTCTTCATGCCATCTAGCTTTCAAATTACCCTGCCCACATCTGTCAGATGTTTTTGTTGTTCAATTATAAAAACTGTATCTAGACTGGATTATGAGAATGCTGTTTGCAGGCACCATAACCACAGATGCCCTTGGGTTGAACATCAGGTTCACTGCAATCTTCCCAAAGAAGGAAATACTCTTCCAGCTGCTGTACCAGATCCATTCTTCTTGGAGAGAGGGAGAAATCACAGCAAGTGAACCTTTCTGGGAATATCTGAAACATGCATTTGGGGAGATGGGAGGCAGAGAGAAGAGTGGAAACAGACTTAACTAATTCACTTACCTACAAAAATGGCCAAAGTGGACAGTGAACACAAGTATTTAGTATGTCTGAGGTAAGGGAGTTTTTCTGGCCTGAATTACCCTATATATCAGCACCATCACCAACATTCACCAATAATGTCTCATTTTCTACTTCATTTTTGCTTCTGCCATCAGTATCGGTGAGTCACAACAGCAACAACAACAAAATTGCACCTGCTTTTCAGTCTGCTTTCCAGTCTAGCTTCCTTAAGAGATGGCCAGAGAAAGTTTAACATGATGTTGTTTTTTCAGAGGAAGCTTTAAGTATTTGCAAGAGATACAGAATATCACTGGCTGACTGCTTTTCCAGCCAAATGAGAATCAACCCTCTTACATTCCAGTTTCCCCAGTTTTTCATCTGATGGTTCTCACCCACCCACTTAACTTTGTAACTTATTTAATTACAACTATTTTTAATAATCCCTACCATGATCCAGCAAAATATTGACTTTGCAGATCCCCAGAATTGCAATGACCTCCTCATTGGTTTTAATGCTTCTTTTGTCCCCACCCCTACCCTCCAACCCCCATACAATACACTTCCAGACAGCAGCCTGAATAAACTCTTACAAATGTAAATCATATCTTGTCACTGTCTTCCCTACAGCCCTCCAGTGACTTTCTACTGTGTTTAGACTACACCTGACCCCTTCTGGAACCGTGTACAGTCTCCTTCTTGCCTCCCATGCTGCCCTCGTATCATTCCATCTCAGCACACTGCAATCTGTTTCGTCTTCAGACACATCCACCTCATTTCTGCCTTAGAGCCTTTCGTCTTGCTGTTTCCTCTTCCAGGAACGTTCTTCCCACAGCCCTCTTCGTGCCTGGCTTCTTCTCATCCCCTAGTTCTTGGTTGAAGGCCTTCCTAGGCCACCTTCCTTCATCTCTTTAACAAATTGCTCTGTATCAAATCACCCTGATTATTTTCTTCATAAAACTTGCCACAATTGCAAACCATCTGGTTTTTTGCCTGTATATTCCCACCAGAATTTAAGTTCAAAGTGGGAATAAACCTTCCTGATCTTATTTATCACTGCATCTTCAGTGTCTAGAACAATGCCTGATACACTGCCTGATATGTTCTAAGAGACTGAATGAATGTTTTGAGACCTCAAGTCACATTATAAAGAATCATTTCATGTTCCAGAACTAGTCTCTTTTGAACATATGCAAATCTAATATTAGAAGAAGCAGTATCCCACTGTCAATTCCCTTGACTCTTCCCAGAATATGGCATTCTGCATAAGAATCATTTCCCAAAATAAGACAATGTCTTTGGAAATTGAAGGAGAAAAAGAAAAAACTCAGACAGACTGCAAAACTCTGGGGTGCTTTCTTTTTCATTATAAGTAAGATAAGGTTCACGAGAATAAGCATCAGCTCTTGATTCTTTAGAAGTTGAAAATTAGATCAAATGAATTGGACGACAACTACATCTTGTGTTAATGTTTTCTTCCTCGAATGAAGAAAATGAGATGATGTGAGCCATGACTCCATTTGAAAATGAAACTTTGTATTTCTATTTACCTCCACATTAAAGCACACTGTTTTTCATCTCAGACTTTCATGTTGGTAAATGTTGCAATACTTTACATTCATTAGGCTCAGGCCCATTTACTATGTGCAAGCAAGACAAGCACAGATGTACCATCCCCCAAAAGCATCATTTCTAAATTACACAGTAAATAAATGAGACTAAGCCAGAAACGCAAGTCTCATGACCCTCACCATTAATGTAAAAACAAACAAATGAAAAAAAATACCTGGGGTCAAAGTTCCCCATTCTTAAAAAATGCAATTTATAAACAGTCTATTATGTTCTTATTATGCCAAGTAAAATGAGCATTCCAGAATACACTGGAGGCCTGACCCTAACTCATAATAGACAAAAAATGCTTCAAGAATAAAACTGGACTAAGATTTTGGCTACTTTTTGCAAAGTGTGATGCACAAGACACTTGGTCTTGCTATGAACTTTGTGTTGATTTCTAATTAGCTGATTACAGAAGTCAACAGCAAAGCCAAAATAAAGTAACAACTCACAGTGAGATGACAGTGAGCAAGTGTCTTTAAAATTATAATTGCCCTTGGATCTATTTAATTTAGCTTTAAGTCATGAGGCATAATTGAGACAAATGGTTACACTGAGCACATATCAGATATGACAAGAAGCTGGCGGTGATTATTTTGCTGCATGATTTCCATTCAGGGACTTTTTCTGCCAACACTTCCCTATAATGACGATTAAATTTTATAGGGATTTTCCCACCATTAGCTGTAATGGTATTTGCATGTTAAATGCTCACAACAAATGAAAACTATGATTTCACTGTTTCACAGGGTGAAAACCATAGTTACTGCTATTCCAAATGGAGAACAAATCTAAAAAGAATCAAGTAATTCCTCCTCCTTGTATGGTACCTATATAAGCTCTGTGGGAAAGCCTATCTACTTTGCAACTCTTCTATTTTTGACACAAGATAGATTCTGCACATGTAAGGAAACTAAATATTTCACCATAAGCCAACCAAAAAAATGTCTCAAATGTTATTTTTGTTAAAAGGATTTGTTTACAATTAAATATAACTCTCCCTAAAGTACATTTAACTAAGAAGCTCCCATTTAATGGGGCTAGAAGGGAAAAGCTTGATGGCTACTTATGGTTGGTTGGTTGTTTTTTAAATGGAAAAAATATGACAGAACTCTAGGATTTGTGTCTAAAAGCCACACCAAATTATAGAAACAACAGGGAAGGCAGATGTTAAGAGTTTCTTAGCCAATTTTCTCCTCTGAGAAAATTTAGCAACTAGTTCTAAAAATTGGTGGATTTTTTTGTTCTGGATAATTATTCTGAATTATAATTTATAAGTAACTAGTTATTCAGGGTCATTTAGATCTATCAAAGCAAGATATAAGAAACCATACATTTGAGGGCCTATAAAACTATTAAAATATACAACTGCTTGATCATTCTAGATCTTTTTAATTTGGTTCAGCTTGCTCATCATTTCTCTACCACCAATAATTTTTCAAAGCATTATCCCCTTCACGTATAATAGCATTTAAATTTTATGACTGTCACATTCCATCCACCAAATCCCTTCTCAAAAACTCAGCCCTTCTGAGAATGTTTCAGAAGGAAAGATCCTCAATAGTTAAGATAGCCAATATTCAAACCTCCGAATTGTCACTTTGATTTGGCCTCTCCCTGATGCGTATTTTAACTCTTTTTCATGTTCCTCCTGAATATATTTAGTCCAAAGAATTCCGATCCATAATGGGCCCCATATGAGAGTATGAATTAGTTTGAAATTATATGTAATTTCTTATTTTAAAAATATCTTTGGAATTTGCCAAAATACGTATTTTAGAATTACTAACTTAAAAGTTACTTGGTCATATTTCTTCTCTCCTTTTTTCCTGTCTCCTCCTTCCCTCATCCAGTATTCTGTACTACTAAGTGTAGAATCAGAGGAACAGTGGTAGTGTTTGGTGAGGGACTAGAAGAAGATGAAATTCATCACTCCTTCAGCAGTTGTTTATTTGTTCACTTAATCACCTGATTTTATCACTTATGAAGAAAACCATCAGAAATTGGCAGTGTATCACTATCGTTTGCCCAAAAGTACCCAAATTTTGGGAAAGTGGGCAACCTCCCACAGATCTGTCCTGGTCCAGGGCTGTGAAGGGAAACAACATATGTACTGTTGGCAATCCTTGATCACAAACCAAGTGCTATTTAGTGATAAACATTAGTTTTGATAGGCATTAATTTCCCTTCTCTTTCTACACATAAACACTTGCAAGCACCAAGTCAAATTTCTCAGCAATCTAAGAAGAAAATGCAATGGACTGTGAGTGCTGGTGCACAACAAACTGTGCTACTTTGGGCAAATCACTTAGCTTCTCTGTGACTCAATTTCCATATCTTTGAAATCAAGATGATCTTTATAGTTTTATGATGTTATTGTTCTCTGACCAGAAAAATGAGTTAAACACCTGAGCGTGCTAATTCACTTTATTACAGAGTAAAATTTGTAGTCCCAAGATTTATTTATTTCCCACTGATAAGCCTTTCCTAACATCCTTTCTGGAAGTATTATCTTCCAAAATACTTCAGGGAGCTTGACACAACTCAGTTCTACCAGGTCAATGCAACTTATATATTCCATTTGTAAAAAGTTTTCTTTTCTTGTGTTGTATAAATACTCAGCCTAAAAATCATTCCAACCACCATGTTACCTCAACAATTTTTGAAACAGAATACTGAATCTTTTGTTATTGTGATGGGAAGTTTTCTACAATTCTGGGTCCATCTCAAGTAATGCTATGAAAACACTGATACTATTGAAAATAGAAACCACTTCACTGCTATTTTCATTTTATCTAATGAACACAGAGAAAAGGCTCAACTCTGAGGAAGAAAAGAGCATAAGCTAGAATCATAAGAGGACTATTTGTTACACATTTTAAATAGATACAGTTTGGTTAAGGATGCTAAGCAAGAATGTCAAATCTATTTAAGACATTTAAACATATCACAATCTTTCATACAATGAGTGTTTATCTGCCATTGGGTTTCCGCTGGTGTTTTACACATCGATGTGGTACGTTACAAGTAGGTATAGGATATACAGAAGTGCGTGCTTGCTAACCAAGCCATGACACAGAAAGTTTATTGGTGTTCTATGACATTGACTGAATTGCCACTAAGCCAAAAATGATCGTGCTGGCAACAACATTGGTTCCAGGCATCAAATCCCCAGATACTGGTTCATTTTGTTTAAGGCATCACACACTGTGTTCAAATCGCTGCGGAGGTCCTGTACCACATTTTCAATACTTCTGGTGTCTTTCAGAATTTCAATACTCTGTGTGTAGGGATTGAAGTAGACTGAGAAGGGACGAGTGATTGACTTGGCAAAGTCCCTGCAGAATAAACAGAAATAGAAGGATATATGATCAACCCCCATTGGTATAAGACATAGATAAATAGAAGGAAGGAAACAGAGTCAGAAAAAATAAAAAGTTATTTTCTCTAGAAGGAAGAAAAGCAAGTTTACCTCATCTTTTCTTTGGCTTCTTCAAAACTTTCTGAAACAAAGTAGGCTTCCTGGAAGGTGGTGATAAGGCATTCCTGTAGGCAAGTGGTCTTTGGGTCAAAGGCTTTCACACACGCCTTGTCAGAAAGAGCATGCTGCAAAACACACCACAAAACCCAATGATCTCCATAATGACTCACAAAGTGTGATGACGTCACGTTTCTACAACACTGTCAGTAGCTCAGAAATCCTACAAAACTGCTCAGTTATCAGCCTGCCATGAAATATAGAACTTCCCTGTGTGCAGGATAAATTGGGTGTTAAGTATCTTTTGGTTTGTTTTATTTCTTTAAGTCTGTTAGGTGCTGAGGGGGAAAATGAGATTATGGAGTTTTTATATTTACTATCAGCCAAATTCATACTGAAGGACAATTTAGAGCTGTACCTCAACAGAAATAGAATTTTAAATCCATGCTATGAATAGAAGCAGGGGCAGCATAAATATGCTCCTAAATTTATTGCTGTAAGCAATGTACTGAAACTTCACTTAACTGGCAGAAGTAATAATTACCTTCATGGGGAGGTAATTGGGACTCTGAACTATTTGTGGACTCTGCGAGACATTTTGAGGCCAGGTACTATATAACAACAGTGTCTGGAGTGGGCCCGTATATTTGAGGATACTTGCAAAGCATTCATTTACCTTCCACCAAGCACAACAGAGCAACATACAACAGATAAATACTTCCAGTTGGGGGGAAAAAAGAGCTAATATCAATAGTTACATTATGCCCAGAGCAAACATTAGAAAAACAGGAAAACCAGTATAATTATTCTTTGAACCATCATTAGCTCTGTTCAGCTCATTACTTGACTGGTACTAAGAACAGCAAGAAACAATAAATGACTGTATTCTGAAGGTAAATTCAGTGATGTTCAAAGTTAGTGGTCATTTCCTGCCATGTGCCACCTGCCTATTTATAGGCCAGACGGACAGTGGTGAAATATAATGTGCATAAGCATCACTGAGGACCCTGTGAAAATGCAGATACTCAGGCCTCAATTGTATTTGCTAGGTCTCAGTGAAGCCCAGAAATCTGCATTTTAAAGGCATCCAAGGTAACTCTCACATAAGTGGTTGTGAATTATATTTTGAGAAATAGTGCTCTAGATCCTGTCTTTTTCTTAATTCCAGGGATAAATTGGTTGGGGGAGGGGGCAGAAAGCAAAAGGGGGTAGCAGAAACTGCCATGAGCAGAGTTGGAAAACTGGGGCTGTTGCCCAGGTGCTGCTGCTAACTGCTGCTGACTCAACAAATCATTTAACCTCCCAATGCCGCCGTTTCCTCCACATAAATGAGAAGTTTGGGCTGGATGATTCTGAAGACATTCTCTATTCCAGGCTCTGGATTCCACCCAAAGCACTTTTCTACCTTCTCAATCTCTAACAGCTAAGATTTCCAGGAGAAATTCTGAAAACACTTTCCTGTTCAATATTCTTGGTACATTCCCTTAACAATTTCAAAATGCATGGAATTATTTCCATCCCTCCATGAAGAAGGCTGTGGATCCCTAACTCTGAAAATGCAATTGAGAACTAAAGTACAGACATGTAAGAGAAAGGGCACATGGCCCTACCCCATGTGTGATTTGCTTTGTCACAAACTTCTGTTGTCCAGATCAATGCATATATGAATCACAAAATGCAGAGGGCCTCTCAGAATGAACTCATATTTTTGGCCTACAGAGCAACTTTATTATAAGCAGAAGGTCATTACACCTGCAAATGCATTTCCGCTAGATTCAGTGCAATGCAGTGAACATCAGGGGATTTCAGTTCCACATGGCCAATAATTCTGTCCACATTTTTAAAACAACTTCACAGTTTCAAGAAACAAAATGTCCTTTCCTGAGAGCTGTTGCTTCTCTGCATAGAATTGGCTTCCTATTGGCTTGCCGTGGTTTTCAGAATTATAAGTTTTCTTTGCAGCACACACTCTGGTTACATTTAACTGTAGTGTGTTGCTCTAATCATCCACTCAATCATTACATATAGAGGGAAGATTCTTTGCAGCACACACTCTGGTTACATTTAACTGTAGTGTGTTGCTCTAATCATCCACTCATCAATCATTACATATAGAGGGAAGGACAGTGGCTGACTCAGTGTTCTCGATCTCTCTACTCTCTCTTCTCTGCATTCAGGGGCATGGATGACAGTGTGGTAGCAGAATAGGCTATAATAACTTTTACGTCACCGCTCCCCTGGGACATCCCTGCTGAGCCAAAGCCTTTTCGTGGGGTCAAGCACAAGCACAAGAAGGAAGTGAAGCTCATCAGCTTGGGTCTCTCATAGGACATTAGCAACCTGGGCAGTCAGTATGTTTAGAGGAGGCCTCCAGAACGGATGTATGCAATAACAGAGATGGAAATCAGTGTGGCTTTAGAAAAACTCATCATGTGATGATTCCACTGGATATTCAGATGACCTCATTTTGTCATTTTAACAGGTAAAGGGGATTAGAGCAGATGAAGAAAAGGCCCAGAGGGCAGGGTGCTCTTCCCAAGACTTCAAGAAAAATCAGTGAGTTCATAGCATATAATTTGAGGCAAAGACGATTAGACGATGTAGATCATACTTGCCTAATATAATATTTTAAGGAAAACTGGAAGTTGATTGTTTTCAGCTCTCAAACATGTAGTCTGGGCTCAGAAGCCTGCTGTGCATGGTATGCTAGTTACCTGCTGGGGACCTCTCCATACCTACTGGTTACCTGGTATGGGGCCAGGGCTGCGCCTTGGCTGTTAACAAGTATGGGGATAATAATGTTACTCTTGCTGTTATTGGCCTGGATAATGACAAGAGCCTAGGGTTGGGGGAATAGCCAATGGATGAGACCAATATTGGTCTCAGACTTACGATGTCAAATGAGTGAACTGCCCAGGTTGAGCTGCGGTTTCCTCTCTGGTAAACTGATGGTGAGCTCTTTACTTGATGATGAGCTCTCCTGTGTAATGACTCCCTGAAACATCCCTACAGCCTATGAGGTCTCCTATCTCTGAATACCACAGTATGGCCCAAGGGGTGTAAAACGACATCTATGTCTCTCTTGATTCCAAAGTCCACTGCCCAGGGGAGAAGCCCTACTGAGTTTGCTTCTCAGCGCCTGCCCATTTCTCTCTCTAAGCTGCCTCAGTTTTGAGGAGCAGCTATTGTGCCCTCTCTTCTATGTCCAGAGTGGATTCTCTGTAAACATTCAGCCAAACTACTTGATGTCCCCAGGGACCTGCGGTGAATCCTTCCTGAAGTGTTAACAGTCTGATATCCTGAAGTCTGCAAGAATGAATCCAACTTCCTGCAGCGAGAAGCTGTATAAGGCTGACAGAACCTAGCTGACAGTCTTTTACTCTCAAGCTTTTTTAAAAGTGCAAGAATGCTTGAGAGACACCAGCTCTCATCTGAACACTCTCTACAAGGACTATTTTGGATTTACCCATAGTGTTAAAGACAAGGGTATAGGACTGGGAACAGGGAGATCTGGGTTCCCAATGTAGCTGTCTCAGAGGCTAGACTTATCAAGTGAGTGAAATTACCTCAAGGGGGCTGCAGACTCTTCTGATAAACTGAAAATATTGATCTACATGAATTCCAAGGCTCTTCTTCTGATACAATTTTTGCAAGCCTGCAAGTACACAGCACTCACACCATCATTCCCTCCCTCCATTCCAGCCACGATAAATTGCCCACAGCACCTCTCCCATGGGCGTGGGGTTGGCCTTTCCACCCTTCCCCACACAGGTGGCCATTACCAATTAATTGGCTTTAGTGCACAAGTTAAGACTTACTTTTCATTCTAGCCTCTTTTTTTTAAACAGGAGAAGCAGGGGCCTTTATTAAGATATGGTGGGGGTGGAGGTGGAAAGGCAGAGAGAGGCAAAGGGCCCTTGGGAGCAGGAACCTGCCCCTCCCTGCCTCCAACCCAGCACCGCTCCCCTTCCCAGGTCCCTTTCTCCACCTTCCTCCTGCCTCTGGGAACACACAGCACCAAGAACAGACAACCCAGGCCCTCGAGGGCAATGGCTTGGGGTGAAGTACAGAGTCCAGGCTTCTCCCTCCCCACAGTGGGAGATCTGGAGAGCTCAGTGAACCCTCTTCGCTTCATCAAGACAAAGTTGGGAAGCTCCTTCCCTGTGCCCCAAACAAAACAAACTCTTATTCTCTATGGTTGGGGGAAAAGAATAGGGATTGGACCTCTAAGCAGGACCGAGGCAGAGGCTGAGCTGAACTTGCAGGGGCAGAGGTGAAACCTCCAGGGGAATTTCTGAGACTCCACCTTTACACTTGCTGTTTCTCCACTTTTCCTTCCCAATGACTCTGGTGAGCAGCTCAGAATCTGGGACCAGGTGACCGATGGGACAGTGGGGTCCTGCCCCAGAGACATCTGTAGGCTTCAGAGTGAGGGTTTCCTCAACACCAAATTCTACATGTACCCAGTGCAGTGCCCACCCATGGTGGGGGAGCAGCCACTGGGGCCTAGTAAGAGTAACCACTCTTGGGGCCAAAGGGCTGTGCAGGGCCAGCCAGCTCTGGGAGGCAGGTGGGGCTCTCATCCAAGAGGGACAAAGGAACTGTGTCCTCCTCACTGACCAGCCAGTCAAGCTCAGCCTAGAGAGCTGGACACTGATATCCCGGAAGGCCAGAGTGACAAGGGCCTCAGGCTGGCACACAAACTTGTACATGTAACGCTCGCCAGCCTCCTTCTACATGATGCCCTTCTCATGACAGCGCTGAAGTGAGCAGCTCGGCTTGTCGTAATTCATGGCCAGCCAGTTCTCCTGGATGCCCCAGAGTCTGGCAGCCTCCTCAGGCTCAATTAGTTTGAACTCCATTCTTTGGCCTGTCCAGGCAGTGAAATGGGCATTTGTTGGGTCATCCAGCAGGGCCACCAGAAACTGCCACAGCTGCAAGGCATCCCGGTGCTGGTAGGGCAGCACCTCTCAGAACACTCCAAGCCCTTCCTGCTTAATGTCTCCTTGAAATTTCTCAGGGACAATGCAGACATTATCTGGGAATGGTTGCAGAGTTTTCTCATAGACATAGCCCATGGCCCCATCACCAGGAGAGGGCCCAGAGAAACCCTCTGGGTGGAGGTACA